TTATAAAAAATGCTGAAATTCTGTTTACTGTATGCCTCAAATATTCTTAGAATAAGCAAGGTGTTGTTAAGTAATTTTATTGATTCATTGAAAGATGTTATGCTGTTCAGGCTATTCTATTGCTGAATACATGATCTGGATCCGGTTCTTTCGCCCTCAAAAAAAAAACAACAAAAAACAAAAACAAAAACAACCAAACACAACAACAGCAACAAAAAAAACAACTGTGGTCGCTTAAACACAGTGATGAAGAAGTGTTCATGTCTTTTTCAAAAGGTAGTAGAAGGATTCGATTTACTTTGTGAAAATAAAATTGATGCAAAACAATTTAAAGATACTGCATGTAGAGTATTTAAACTCTATAATTCCACATCGTCTGCATTGATGTATATGTAAAACTACTTGTTAAATGATGTCCTGACATCTCGGAATGTTGCATTAGCTCAGTGGTAGCATGGGAGCCTCGGTGAGCACAGTGGTAGCATGGGGGCCTCTCACCGAGGAGATTTGAGTTCAAACCTTGATCATGATTTCTTTGTTTTGTTTAGTTTTAATAATTAAATAAATAGATAGTGCTTTTTTCAGTAAATTATGTTATTTAATAAATGTATTTATTCCTTGAGATTTTTAGCATTTTAAGCCAGTGCTATTTCATAACTATTAAGGTATTAATGATTTTTAGACATTTAATTGCTTAAAAGTTCAGCAAGAAGTTTTAAATCTTATTAATTTAGCATTATTCTCATTAAAAATATTCACAAGAAATTGCCAAAGCAGGAAATATGTTAGGAGTCAACGGACGAAATGTCTTCAGTAGACTTTCCCAGGATGAAAAGAAGCATGGTATTAAGCTGTAGCTGTTTCCCATAATAACTAGACAGAAAGTCTTGACTTGTCCTTTTTCACAAAGTATCCTTTTATTTTGTGCATGAAATTGCAGAGCATACATGTAAGCAGCCATAACTACATGAATTGGATTATTCACATGATGTGTATTACTGCCCTTTGTGCGCTCATAGTTTTAATGTGTTCCGATGTCTCCACCGTTACTTGGTACCTCGCATAAGGACACAATGAGGAGTGGTGAGACTCAGTCAGGAGTGAAAAATTGGGCTGATAATCTTGCTAATCATGTAGCTGTATTTTGAAAGCATGGCCAAGGTTCGAAGACCGTCCATAGAAACCTCTAATTACCTCTTATGGGTCTTCCTCTCCATACTTCTATGTCTCAGACTGTTGATGCTAGTGAAATTCAGTCCATCAAATCCACTTATCAAAGTTCTGATCCAATAGTCGCAGATTCATCGAGTAATCCCTTGAATGAAACTCTATCTGCTTCTTTCCCCACTTCACATATTTCCCCTGAGAAGTATATAATCCAAGCAAGGAGGAAAACAGTTCTTGACCTATTTGCCAAACCGTTTTGTCCCAGTCGCCTAGTTCGGAACAAAAGACAGCCAAAGTCGTCATCATCCCCTGAGTGGACGACATAAAACTTTGTTAGCTGATAGAACTTTACCCAGATTGTAATTGTTTGCTGCAATTGTTATCGTTCTTGTGAGAACATTTTTTTTAGTATGAATTATTGTTTGTACTCTGATCATATGATTGAAAATGATAGTTGAAGATGCATGATTTTGTAGAATTTTGTAAACTAGAGTACATAGATTTGTTGTGAGTTTTGCTGGAAGAATATTGATATGTTGCTTATCTGTAACTGACTGATTTAAGATGTAGAGCGTCTTTGTAAAATAAAGGTACTATTTGGAATTCAATGTTCCTTTCGCTGCGCCTTATTTTTTTTCTTTTATTAGATAGTCTTATTTTTCACAGACTTGAGTGCCATCTGTGTATTAATATGATGTTATCTTAATAGTATATCATACACTTGTAGGTGATGTTTGTTTTTTTTTCGATAAGATCAAACCTCTACCGAGATTTGAATTATTTATAATATACTCGTACTATATGAACAATACAGGCCTGATGTTCATTTAAGTACTTTAATAGTTTTTGAAACAGCTGATTTACCAGAAGGTAGAGAATTTATTTTAAATTTATTGTGTATGTACACTTTTGAACTCTATGTGTAAGTGTCTATCTTAAGGAAGCATTTACATTGTAAGATTTCTTGGCATTGGTTGTTTCAAATGTCGGGACGACATTTTCCCTATGAAGGTGGGGGGGGGTGTCGCAGGGTCATATTAATGTGTTATATGTTGTTTGTCACTGTATGTCTCGTATTGTACACCGTAGATTATATTATTTACATGTCCATGCCATGTCTGTTGTATTTTGTAATGTATATATCTTGTGAAGTCCTAGATTTATGTCCCCTTTTCCTTTATTTCATCCATTCATCCTTTTATTCATTTACTCATTCATTCATTTCTTCTTGCATTCATTTATTAACAAGTATGTACTAACCACTGGTATAGGCCTCAATCCTTAATATTCTATTTCCGCACTTAATACCTTCAAGCATGCGCACTCGTATTGAAGATTTTCATGGCGCGAGCCAGATTTCATATTGATTGATAATAAATATTTTCTGAGAGTGCGTCTCTGTATTTTTACAGGTAAATATGAATGTTTGTATTGATCCCCATACTTGCTATTCTACATTTTGCCATTTTTTTAATTTTGTGTCATTTGTCATTCATTATTTTGTATTTGCACTCGTACCGAAGATTTACCTGGCGCGAGCCAAACTTCATATTGATTGATAATAAATATTTTCTGAGAGCGCGTCTCTGTATTTTTACAGCTACCCTCAAGCCCAGAACCTTTAGCAGCACCCTTCCCTTATACTTAGAGTGGTATTCGACATGCGTACCAATATATCAGATATCATGTTCGTCAGAACTTATGTGATTGTAATATTATCCCCACCCTTTTACCAATTCATATTCTGACGGTTCTTCAAAGACTGTCCGAATCCTATTTCAGTTGATATCTAATTTAGAAAGTTCCTTCCCATTTTGTTTTTTTTCTTATTACCAGATTTATATTGATATTTAACAGCCTTGCAGGGACTCGAACCCCTGATACTCGAAATACAATATCGCAGCTCTTCCCACTGAGCTATTCGGCCGCTTACACTTTATCTCCCCTAAATACTGAACAGTTCTAAACCGTAAAATACTTCCCTACTATATGTACAAATATTTTCTTGAATGTCCCAGGGTTACAGATTATTGTGAATTAAACATTGGGCTATATGTCAGTCACTGGGTGAAACAAATGTGCAGCCTGACAGGGACTTCAACTCGTGACCCTCAGAATACATACCGCGATTCTACTTACTGAGCTGTCCGGCCACTTACACATTTTATTTATATTGTGCTTAATAGTAAACACCTCTAAACCGTGACGTAATCGGTTAGATAGTTTTAAAAAAAAACAGGTAATTAATCTTCAATTAACACACATTGAAAACAAAAAACACATATAACATTGACAAAAATTACAATAACAATATATTACGAGTATTATACAAAGTTTTGATGTAGTGGGATAAGACATTTATTGATAGTTCAATTATGTTTACATGTATAGAGAAAACATTACAAATATATTTTACTATTTCTATATTTTTGTACAAATACAAAAGCTAGCCTCCTTTTCTACATTTGTGGTAGCTGATTGGTGCCATGACGTACTGTTGCTTCGCTAGGCACCTGGCGAAAACTCAAAAATACGACTAAGTAGTTTTGTCGAATTTTTGCCCGGCGCCCATGGCACTTTGTTGTTTTCCCATGTCTTCGTGCAGTGCAACATTTGTGAGTGTTTATTTGTTGTTTTTTTCAGAGCGTTTTTCGTATAAACTGAAACGTTCACCCTACTGTTTATAGGGAATATAAGATCACATTTGAATAATCGTTATATATAAAATATAGTGAAAGTCTTATATAGAAATGTTTTAGGCAAAATTAGACTGTCCTCAAACAAACATAATTTCGAGTTAGGAAGACATAATAATGTACCAAGGAATGAACGAAAGTGCACTTTATATTATATGAATGATATAGAGGAAGAATTTTACTTTAACATTAAATGTCTGATATATTCTGAGTTCAGAAATCAATTCATTCCAAGATATCATTATTGCAACACAAGTATGTTTAAATTCATTTCGTTAACGCAAACAGCTGGTCACAAGAAAATACTGAATGCTTCTCAAATAAAATATAAAGTTGCGTGTCTGTTTTCCAACACATAACAAAATATAAATATGTGTACCTTGTTGAAATGTTTTGACAAAAATAATATTTTTAATTCTACTAAGTCTAATTTCGTTTTAATTAAGTTTTGTTTATTTCGCTTATTTGTCGGTATTGTGTGTTTTTTTTTCCTTTAAATATAAACGTAAAAAATCAGTAAACGTATTTCTTTTCTATTTATATTGATTATGAATAATTACGGGAAGTGAATGCTAAAATACTTGTTATGTAAAGTTATATAAGTTCTTCCCCTTCATTTGTCACAATCACTTTTTTCATTAAAACTGCGAATTTTCTTTTTTGTGGAATCTATTGGAAGGCATTACCGAATTTCTCAATCTTGTATTGTACTTTATAATTTGATAATGTTAGGTAAGGATAGACAAATTCTTGTGAATTATATACATGTATTCATATGCTTTTTAAGTAATTTCGTATCTCATTAAACATTTTTCATGTTTCATAAACCATTATTTTGCAATTTAATATGTTCATGTCATGTGTCATTTATGTATCATATGTTGTATTTGTATATGTAATATGATGATAAGCTTTTGATGCTTAAACCAATAAATAAAGTGTATGTTATCTTCTGTTCAGTTAAAAATGTGGAATAAACCGACAGCGGGCATCATGAAATTGCAAAGATTGCTTACACCATTATGAACAAGCTAATACTGGTCTATCATACAAACGATAACTCCATTAAAATCATAGTTGTATTTACATGTTATGTTACATTAACCAGAAGTAAACTATAGAAACTTTAAGTGTTACCTCTTTTTCTTTGGACAATTGTGTTTCAATGTCAGTTATTCTGTTTTTAAGCTCCTCATATTCATCTTTCGTTACAGCAGTTTCTTTTATTTGCCTTAGAATTTCACCAACGCCTTCAGTAGTTATAATGAAGTCCTTTGTTTTCAGCTGATGAAAAAATAACAATATGTCAATGTGACCTTCAGATGTAAAAGTGTAGGTTTTGATTTTATCTCTTAAAACCATGCAATATAAGGTCAGACTTCATTTCAGTATTATCTCAATTGTTATTTTATTTAAACTTCCATACTCATTCTTTTTGAGGACTGTTGATGTCCGCTCATGTAACAGGATGTGTGGTAAAGACATCTTATATCTCAGACATTTCTATTTTTCAGCATTTTATTTTTTACATATTTCTAAAAACCTAAAATCGGTTACTTAAAACAATTTCATATTTGACTGGGTTGTTTATGACTTCACAAATAAAAGTTAACTTAAGGCAATTGTTATTCAAATTGACAACAATGAAACAATTTCAATTACCCCAAATACGTTCTGAATGAATATATTAAATCGAAACTAAACTTCATCAGGATTTCAACTTACTTATTCAAAGAATTCATTATTTGCACTTACATCTTGAAGTTTACGGACAGCTTGTTGTGAAGCTGGATGATGCACAAGCTCCTTACTATCTTGTAGAACGGATATCATATCACAAATGTAGGAATTAGCCTCCGTTTCCTCTAACTCCATATTGCTTGAGTGAAAAATCTTATTGCGATAATGTCGGACCTGTTGAATTGAAAACAAGTCTAAGTCAAACATAAACACATAATTATACTGTTTTCAGCAATAAGAATTAACAGTACTCTTAGAAATTAGAATTAAAAATGCCAAGCAAGTTAGTTATTCAATTGCAACTCCTCGACACGGTAAACTGAATTAATTCACACGCGAAACAAAAGATGCACAAGTTCACATGGTGAACTACATTCCTGTAAAGTGTTTTGACTCTAGTTAAATTACTGTTAGAGCAATTTGTGGACGCATGCACGGACAGACAAGGGCAAATCTAAATGTCCCAAAACCCTAGATTCGGGGCATAAAATTTACGTAGATATAACATCATCTACTTACTTGAAGTATTCAAACTAGCAAGGGTTATGGACACAACATAAAGTTTAAGGCTCGCTAAAACATTTATAGCTAATCACTTAAAATTTTGTTGCATAAGAATTTTTGAATCATAATTCACTGCAGCAAGTTGTTTCTCTAGCAATTAACTACATTAGTCTCATAATTATATGGACACAACGTCACCTTGGTGCAGTAATGGGATAACTCATATTTAAACAACAATCAGAAAATTAAGCTTTACTATAAGATTAGTTTATATAAAAGAGATTATCTTCACCTAAATGCAGTAAAGTTTAACTCTAATGATAATTTTTTTACGAAAAACGAAAATGAAACACATAGTACTTAAATGCATTTACCTCTAAAAAAAGATTGTTTGGTGCTGTAACATTGCATCCAATATGATTGTGAAAATATTTGTTATTTATTATAACATGGAGTAACCCTGAACAGTCCGTGTCAAATGCCGATGCTTTGTCATTGTAACCAGGAGCATTTATAAAGCATTTACAAATGCTCCATTTGTCAGTGGACCAAATAGCTGCATCACTGTTTTTCCAAAAAGGTGCTGGTGGATTTGATGCATGATTCCGTATAATGTTGTCGTAGATGGCACCACATACGTTGTTTGGACAGGGTTTCTTATTATTTGGAAAGCAACAGTTACATTTATCTTGCCCCAAGGGACATTTCCCTTTTGAGACTCGGACGTGGTCTGGCTGGAGAGTTGTTATCTTACAGAAGCCACATGCTACATTTGGCTTCGGATTCTTTGTTTGTTGAATATATTTTATAATATCTTCATGTTGCTGTTTTCCTATGTCATCACAAAACTGTGCAAGTCCCTCTTTTAGATAACCTAAGCCCAAGCCAGCCTTGACCCACTGTCGGTATTTGTTGTTCTTTAAATGTTTCTCATGCGTCATCGCACCAGCTAGAAAAAAAAGAAATCCATCATTTTTTACTACATTTTGTAAGAATCCAAGGAAAACCAATATAAAATACGACTAAATACAACCATTTGTTTGCCCCGAAAGCTAAGCCCAATTAAAAGAATTTGATATTTAACTTACAATGAAGGCACAATGGAAAGAAGTGTCAAAAACGACCCATTTGTGCTTTCCCTAACATAAGATGTTGATTGGCAGGTCTTTGTTTTTCATTCATACACGTATGTCAATAGTTTTGTGTATGTTGTAAAATTTGTCATTGCAATGTTGATGAATATTTTATGCTGAAATAAATCGTTTTATATCTAACTATGATCCCTGTCAAAAGAGGTTCTTGTTTGCCCTAGATATCACACCTGAGACTCATTGTTAGAAATAGTTATTATTCCTCAATTAAAAGTAGATAATTGTGTTTCATTGAGACATGTCTGACATGGTCTGAAACAAGAAGCGTATTTTCGTAAATACGCCAGCAGAATCTTCACAAATGAACATCAATCAATGTATTTTAGTTAATAGATGATCAAAAATATCCAATCTATTATAAGCCTGCAAATCAGACTTACATTTTATGTTTACGCAAACTGAACGGGCAGTTTTTTGGTTTAAAACCTCCGAAATTAAGGGAAACAATTCAATTCAACTGTTGGTCGAGGCTTAAGAAGCGCAACATTGTTTTAAAGGTCAATAAAGGTTGTGTTGGACCCTGTACTTTCATATGTCTTATATGTCTGTCCCAATTACCATGGTTTTCGCTTCAATTAATGCAATGACGATAGGTGCAAACTTCTATTGAACAATATCTATAATTGGAATCATTTCGTATTCAGAAATAGTTATTGTGCTCCGACCCATACAAAACAATCATAGCTATAACTAAGAAAGAGATGATTGAGTTCTACGCTTGCCTAATCTGATATTGTGAGCCATAACTTTTTCACCCTAAACACAAGTGACGCTTAGATGTTGTCCTAGTAAATTAACCATTATCTAAATATCCTGTATTTTTGTTGGGTCAGAGCTTACATATACTATTTCAAACTGACCATTCTTCAAAGATATAGTTTTTCTTTGTAATAAATGTGGTCATTACATAAATTTACGCTCCCCGTTTATTACATTTTTGTCCGTTTTACGAGAAATGACGTTATTGTTATTTCTTTGCATCAATATGGACGGTTAACTTTTTGACACCGTGTATTTTTATAGTTTGAGAGTATACTCCGTTACATAGCTTTGAAACTAAGTTGTGACTTGGTTGTCTCTTACCTTGTTCCTTTGCCAGTTGCTGCGCCATGTCCGCTTGTTGTTGTATGGGTATCACAGGCGGTGGTGAAGGAGCCCTAGCTGGACGTGTAGGCGCTCTTGGTGTGGGTGTAAGTGGCATAGCCAGAGGTGGAGGAGCCTTTGGTGTGGGTGTAGGTGCTCTTGGCGTGGATATAGGTGGCATAGCCGTGGGTGTAGGAGCCCTTGGCGTGGGTGTAGGTGCTCTTGACGTGGATATAGATGGCGTAGCCGGAGGTGTAGGAGAACTTGGCGTGGGTGTAGGGGCTCTTGGCGTAGATGTAGATGGCGTAGCCGGAGGTGTAGGTGCTCTTGGCTTGGATGTAGGTAGCGTACCCGGAGGTGAAGGAGCTCTTGGTGCAGATGTAGGTGCTCTTGGCCTGGATGTAGGTGGCGTAGCCGGAGGTGTAAGTGCTCTTGGCGTGGATGTAGGTGGCGTAGCCGGAGGTGTAAGTGATCTTGGCGTGGATGTAGGAGGCGTAGCCGGAGGTGAAGGAGCTCTTGCCTCAGATGTAGGTGCTCTTGGCGTGGATTTAGGTGGCAAAGCCGGAGGTGTAGGTGCTCTTGGCGTGGATGTAGGTGGTGTAGCCGGAGGTGTAGGTGTTCTTGGCTCGGATGTAGGTGCTCTTGGCGTGGATGTAGGTGGCGTAGCCGGAGGTGTAGGTGCTCTTGGCGTGGACGTAGGTTGCGTAGCCGGAGGTGTAGGTGCTCTTGGCTTGGATGTAGGTGGCGTATCCGGAGGTGTAGGTGCTGTAACCGGAGCGTAGGTGCTCTTGCATGGTCAATGCACACAATTTATCAATCGACGACAAATTTCGTGAGAAGCACACAGTAAGATGTGATTAGATATGATTTGTTTTAATGAAATAATTATTCTGACCTTTATAGCGCAATAGAGTTAACTACCGGTTTATATGTTTTTTATGTCCTATGTGTCTTAAAATACTTATTTTTTCTTATTTATAACTATTTTCAACATTATTGAAGCTATGATTTTTTTGGATTTTTTAGTATGTTTTGCACTCATTTATTTTGGTAAAGGCTATATTCTTTTGAATATTATAGCATAAAATCGGCTATTTTTCCCTCTTTTGCCAATGTTATAACGGGGCCAAAACCATGCGTTAACATAGTCACGCGCTCTTGTTATAGCCCGGTTTTACCTATGCGCAATACATACAGGGCCCAGTAAACAAACAAAAAAAATGACGATTTGGACTGTTTGCCAAATAGTCATGCGCTCTTGTTATATTGGAATTATTAATTCGAGGGTCTCAGTCGCATAACGGCGAGCAGCATTCAAGTAATTATGCCGGCAATACGGCGTATAGACATCGCCGCTTATCTTGGTTGTCGCCCTTTCTTAGAAACTGACAGTTTTCAATGTAAACAAATAGAATCTGTCATTCAGTTTAATCCCCCGATTAACTTACAAAAATGGAAAGCACAAAATGAATATAAAAAAAAAAACGTTGTTTTATTGACGTTTATATTGATAAATGTCCTGTATGTTTCTTTGAGAGAATAATGTTTTATGCCTGATTTTTTTTAAACTTGCGTGCTTAAAAAAAACGATTCTGAATTTGAATCTGATGTCACTGATCTTTTTCCTACCGCCAATCTGTAATCATTCTAGGAATTTCTGAGGCGTCTGTTTTGTCTTGGGGAGATTACAGTAATGTTATGTTTTTCTTAACTTAATATATCCCCAAAGTTAAACTTTGTTAAATCAATTAAAATTCGAAATTTCGTTCGGTTCTCAAGTTGTTGGCCCCGGAAAAAAATAAAACGCATACCTAAAACATGTAGAGTTGGATAAATACCGTTCAAGCACAAGGATTTTATGTTTGTGTTTTTATATAATATACATCATGAATCTGTTTTAAAAATTTTATGCTATAATAGCGTCAACGCACGTTTATTTCGTGTTATAAAGTCTGCAGAGTCCCTCGGAACTGTTGGAGCCCTCGCCCTACCGGGCTCGGGCACCAACCGTTCCTCGGGACTATGCAGACGTTATAACACGGAAAAACGTGCGTTAACCCTATAACATAATAAAAGAATTAAAATTCAGATTTCATTCTGATTTGAAATCAATAAATGTCATTTCAGTGCTGTTAAAGACTATGCAAAACAAAACAAATCAGTGTTTCTAAATTGTTACATATCAGTGGAGACAATTTTGCAAGCACTCGGCCATTTTCATTAAAATATGCATCAAAAATAAATAGTTACCGTGGATGTGACGAGAACCCATACAAGCTAGTGTGACTTAATTTTACTAAACATTAGTTATATACTCCATAGTAATTCTCTTGAATAATATGACGGACAAAACCGAAGTGGGATCTAATATTTAAATGAGTGCTATAATATATTCATAACTAACAGGTCAATAAAAACAGACTATATTCACTAAGCAGGTCTTTCTTCAGAAACTAATACCTTCAAGCCAAATCTTGAACTTTCAAAAGAGATTATTATGTCCTCCATCTGGTCAAGGCTAAAACCCATCTGACTGTCACAGGTAACCTTAAATAGCATGTGGGACAGCCAGCATGGGTCTTTGTGCTACACAGATGAAACATTCTTACAATCTATCCTGAATTGATACTTAACACAGATTTATAAGTACAATTATTTTTGCAAATTTTTGAGTACTTAAAAAGTAGGAATTTAAAACAGAAAGTGGGATTAACGTAGGAAAAAGAAGGGACACTTATTACAATAGGAGAAAGTAGGAACAACTTGACAGTCTCTATATAGTCACTCTAGAATTAAGTGGAAATTTTCCAAAAAGGGATTTTTTTAGAAAAATATTTTTTTTACCTCCTTGTTTTTTACAAGTTTATTTATAAAAAACCAAAAAATTTTTTTTTTAAAAAAACTTTTTTGGAAAAATAAAAAAAGAAATTTTTTTAAATTCATTTAAAAAATGGTTGGTTTTTTAAAAACCGGGGAAAAATTTCCTTTGGGGAAAAAAAAAAAGGGGGGAATTTTTTAATAATAATTTTCCGGGGAAAAAATTCTAAATTTTAAAAAATTCCCGGAGCTTTTTGGAACCCAATTTTAAATATCAGAGCAGAGGTTTTAGCGGCATTGAAAACTTTAAAACGTGAAAGGCAGGCTCTATTGATAATTGTTCATTAAATCAGGGGATATATAAGTAATTTATTTATTATAATGACAGTGTAAACATATTTTACAAATTCAAATAATACAACATATTAAATCGCCGGCCCATTGGGCCTATAAGTCACCTTCAATAAACATGAAATATTTACATAAAGTCATAAGTAATTATATTAACAAATTCATTTGTAAAAATCGTAGCTATAACTATAAATTTATCTGTAAATGCTTTCACGTCTGTACAAGTATGATTTTACAATGTATTTAGCTAGCGTTCTAGATTTGTTATATATCAAATAAATTAATTGAATCAGTCTTAAAATCATTTGTATTAAATAGTTCACCAAATGTATCTGCCATTTAACAGATCTTTCCATACCGTTTTTTCCCCTGATAAATGATCGGAAGGTATAATAATCCCATTATTTAATGAAAGGGAAACGAAAAAGATGTTAATCTTTATCTTTGAATAACATTGATCAGTGTCCTAGCAAAACTGTTTACACCTCTATTAATAAATCGTTTAACCTAAGAGTATAAAAATAATATCATTTCTGACCCTCAGACCCTGAGCAAATGTTTTAACAGCGTTTATAGGAACGCGGTATGGTACAAAATGTTTAACCTTGAAATATCTGGAAAAAATTTACGGGTAATGAGGTCTTTGTAGAACACGATAAAAAGCACTGTAAAAATAGATAAATAAGTCCCTAAAAAAAGCCCCAACAGGAAAAGAAAAAAGTTTGCAGGCTCCGGGGATTTTAGCTTTTTATGGAACCCTTGGAAGTGCAAGTTTTCCCCGGGCCCCCCTAGAAAGCTTAAGCAGTTAACATTTTCAAAATGGGGAAATTTTGAATTTTAAAAAACCAGAATTGTCACGGCGGGGTTTTTGGAAACCTTCCCAAAGTACAAAAAGGGCCATTCCTTTAAAAGCGGCGTAGGTTTCCCGTAATATAAGGGGGGCCTAAAGGGGAAAAAAGGGGGAAAATTAAAAAAAGGAAAAAGGGGTAAAGGGTTATGAAGCCTTTTCGTTCCAATAAGGACGTAAAACAAAATTTTAAAAGGAAAATCCAAGGGGGGGCCCAAAAAAATTAAGTAGAAATTTGGAAACCCAACTAGAAAAGCCGAAAAAGTTGAAAAAAAAACCTTCAATACAACAAATTTTTTTGCTGAAATCTTCAAGGGATCGAAAAATTCATCTTGTTAAAAGTTTTCGGGGGAGATTTTCAGGCACCGGTTTTTAATTAAAGTTTTTGGTTTTTGAAAACGGTGGCAAGTAGAATATGTTGTTCTTTTAGCACATTTTTAGACAACTACGAATTTATTTTGTCGGTTGGGTTAAAAGTTCTCAAGCAAATGTACCGACGTGAACGTTGAGAGACGAAAAGGAAATGGTAGTATAACGGGAAATCGTTGGATATTGTAGATACATGTAATTATCTGGAACTGTAGTTGGTTTAAAACGTAATTTTAATTATAACCAGCAATCGTAAATTGGTAAAGCAATAAAGTATATGCATTTGTTAACCTATAAAGACCGGTGGGGACATTTCAACTTCATAAATTCTCGACTTCAGCTTCATGAATTCACGATTTCAACTTCATGAAGTTGAAATCGTGAATTTGTGAAGTTGAAATCGTGAATTCGTGAAGTTGAAATCGTGAATTCGTGAAGTTGAAATCGTGAATTCATGAAGTTGAATTCGTGAAGTTGAAATCGTGAATTCATGAAGTTGAAATCGTAAAATTCGTGAAGTTGAAATCGTGAATTCATGCAGTTGAAATCGTGAATTCGTGAAGTTGAAGTCGTGAATTCGTGAAGCTGAATCGTGAATTCGTGAATTCCGTATTTTGAAAACGAGAATTCACGAGGTTTAAATTGTGAAGTCATGAAGATGAAATCGGAAATTCATGAAATGGCCCTACCGGTCTTTCGTAGTTAACCCTATAATATTCGTGAATTCGATTCTACTCCAAAATTCAATGTCAACTGTTTGGTTTATGTGTAACATCTATATTAAGTAATGCAGCAGAGGTGTGGAGTAATCAAAAAACGAAAGATATTTAAAAAGTGCAGTTAAGGTTTTGTAAAAGACTTCTTACTGCTAAAATGCCAGTGTGTAATGATTCTGTATATGGAGAGTCAGGTCGCTATCCACTTTATATTAATCGTCTTGTAGAGATATTCAAGTTCTAAATTACAGACTTAAATACCAAAAATTGTATCATAAAGAACGCATACAGGAAGCTGTTAAATTATGCTATTCATGGTTAAAAGAACTGGGCATATAAGTTAAAAGTTTTATTAGGAAACATGGACATGGATATCTTTGGGAAATATACAAGACAGTATCATAGACGGTAAAAATGTGATTCCATGTTTTAAACAGATTGTGATTGACTGTTTTCTTCAGGAATGGAGAAGTGATATAAAAGTCAAACGTGTATTATTGGTATATAATATAATAGACAGGAGAGTGTCAAATATGATAAAATGGCGAGGTAGCAGACGAATTTCACTTTATGCTTATATGTGCGAGATACAGAGTAGTAAGGAAACGGTATATAAGTGAATATAACACACTTCACTCAAATATGTTTAAGCTTATGGAACTGCTAAGATATGTGAATCATGAGACAATGACACAATTAGTGATGTTTATAAAATGTGCTCTTAAAATTTGAGGAAATTTGCTACGACAAAATGACTTATCATATACTCTAAATTTCAAGTCGATTGTTTAAAGTGCTACTTCCTTTGTCAAATTAAACCTCAGTTTCGCGAATGATTTTTATATTTATATTCATATTAATTTAATAATTTATTTGACATGATCTTTATTTTATGTTATAATTATTATATATATATTATATGGAACACTATGTTTAAATCTAAAATATAATAAACGATATGTTATGTTTTGTTCTGTTCTATGTAAAACGTGCATTAGAAATCTTTTGAAAACCGGACATCAATAATATTTAAGTGTCAACTTCCTGTGTATTTCATGTGCATTTAAACATAATCCCATGATGATCGGATAAAATCTTCAACTACCAGTCAATGGTAATTACATTATCTTTTAGGTATGATGAAAAATTAAAAGTATGTGTTAAATCATAATTGTTATATAATTATATAATGTGGAAGAGGGTTAGGAACATTTTGTTAAATGATTTCTGTTAAGCTGAAAAATGTGCATGAACATGAAGTAAGAATTATGATAAAAATGTCCAAATATCATTTATTTCAATGGCAGGTTCTATTTCAGATAATGAGCTGTTTTAATTTCTAATTTTCTTTAATATTATATTTATGAATAAGCAAAACATAATTACTCAAGACATTTATTGCAAAAAGAGGAATAAAAATATGACCTATATAAAGGGTTGAAAAGTAAATACAAAAATGTTTAAACAAAGTCAATGTTCAAACACATCTTAATTACAAATAAATGTATAAAACCTCTGAAAACGGAATTGTCTGAAAACTGGACTTTTGGCCAAGCCCGGACAGAGAAAACTTTGCAGAGTTTTTAATGTAAAATGAATCAAGGTGTATCTTATGGACATAAAAATCCAATAAATATTGTTCCCAATCAATCGAACCTACTGACTTCTGGAATAATTTAATCTGTCTTATTATTAAATCCCTTTGTAAAACAAAACTTAAACAAAATTCAACTGCTGTTGTTATTAACGGTTTCGTTAAAGGAAGCCCCGACACAACCCGCCAAATATCAGGTTGGGTCCTCTTCCAGTACTTAATCATGTGTAATCCAAGCAAATTATGTATAACACAATGTCCTATAAAACGAGGGTATTCCTGCAGTCCGGATATTATTCACGAGGGACCAACTTCATATGATTCATCGAAATGTGCATCGATTAAAAAGATCTGTTGATTTCCGGTAAACATAATTAAGCGCAATATTGAACAGTAAGTTTTACAAATTTAAGTATAAAAAAAAAAATTGAAAAGCTATTAGACCCTTATACAGTTCTTTTCAATTCATGCATTGTCATTTGATGTAGTCTATTTTTAGAAATGTTTGTTGTCATGGGTATGTAAAAGTCAGCACTAGGATAAAGAAAATAAACAAAAATAAGCTCAAAACATTATTAAATCAAGCGATTGATGTGTGATGGAAGTAAACGTAAACCGCTTTTTGATCACCTCTGTGAATATTAGCAAGAGTTGAAGAGGATAATGATTAATGCGCATGTAGTTTTTCATGTCACAGGGTGAGAAAGATGTGCAGTCTGAGCATCGAGCCCGGGACCATCGGATACCGTTTCGTGGCCGTACCGACTGAGCTTTCCGACCTCATACAATAAAAAGTGAAAAGTTCTGAATAGTGTCATACTCCCCCGATACGCTGGAATTTCTCTCGGTTACCCACTTTTGGCAC